CTTCTTTCGCCTGACTATGTTGGCAGGTCTTAAAAAGGGCTTCCGTTTAGCTGCTCTGCGACGATAACCCAATCTGTGGAGAATCCGTTGAACAGATTTTGGGCTCATCCCACCAACTTTGGCCACTTCTGCAGTCATTAATCTGGGATCCATTTCGATGCTTCTCTTGACAGCCCTTTTTGGTCTCTCCGATGGACCAGGACGACCCGGACGCTGCTCAGTTGTTTCCTTGTCGTGTTTCCTGAACTGCACGATGATTCTGTTGAATGTTGAAAGCGGATTCCCAAATTCTGCGAAATTTGTCGCTGACTTATTCCACTATCTGCTTGACCAACTATCCTTCTTCTAACAAAATCTGACAATTCGAGAGAACCTTGAGTTCTATGCATGTTGTAGCACAAGATAATTAGTGTGCGGACCATTTTCATTTATATAGTGCTCGTGAACACAAATTAGTTAGCATAAATCAGTTAAATGACGAAAAATTAGGTGTCTATTTACTTGTGACAACTCAGTGTACATACAATGATTATATTCAAAAATGTAATTCATTAAGGCGAACGTACAAGCCTGAACGAGACTGTTACTTGTGATGTATCGGCCGTATGATTTCTTGGTTAAAATGTTTCATGTATTAGGTTTCAGTGGCTTGTGTTTTTCAAAACATATAAAGAGACTGAAAGTAAGTATAAAAAAGAATATATTTATAAATTGCGTTTAAAAGCAATACAGTTTAATTCATGTAATAAAAGATACAATATTTGCTATCACTATAAAATGCTTACTAAATACGTGCTACCTTTGAATTATATATTTATCAGAAGTGCAAATACCAGCTTAAAGGACGGATTGATGAGAGATAGTCAGCAAAAAAAAAGACGTTTCTTGTAACTGAAACCCTGAGTTGTGCACTAGGAAGCGAAATGCGTTGTTTAATAGTGATGACCTCCTCCATGTCCTTGACCAGAAGTGACAACCTTTGCTACACCAGGAGATGCAAATGCTAGCGTAGAACCGCCGCCGAAAGTACCAGAAGAATAAGCGCCACCAAATTTACCAGAAGAATAACCTCCACCAAGACCAGCACCACTATAACCAAGACTAACAACACCAGCAGCTGGGCGGCCGCCACTAGAACCCGCACCCGGGTGACCACCAACAAAGTTAACAGCAGAACCGCCTCCCCCAACACCTACAGTAGAACGACCACCACCAAAGCCTACAACAGAACGACCACCACCAATACCTACAGCAGAACGACGACCACCAAAACCCACAGCATGACGACGACCACCGAAACCAGCACCTGAAAAACCACCGCCAAAAGCAGTAACTGAACGACCGCCACCCAGACGACTACCGGGGTGACTAGTGTAACTTGGAACAGAATGTACAAGATTAGATGTAGGAGCCCGAACTTGAGCTAAAGTATTCTGCACAACAGCAGCCGGCGGCTCTTCAGCGGTAATAATAACATCTGCCGGATTCTGGTTAGCTGTACCAGGTTCGTTAGTCTTGACGTTAGCGGTAAAACCATTTCCGTCAGCTTGGTATTGCACCCATCGATAAACTCCATAAGGGTCAGTGTAACCATAAGTTCCAACTACAGTTCCGCTGCCATCACCCTTTTCCCACCGGCTTAGGGTTGTTCCTAACTCGTCTTGAACATCATATCCAAAATCATAGGGTTTGGGAGATTCCTGAATAGATGAATAAACACACGGTTCAAATATCTCATTCAGATTATGTAGAAAATAGTAAATCTGAAGGGAAAAAAACTTTGTTCGACTTAAATATATAAAGAAAAGAAACTACACGATTCGATAATAGGAATGTCATGGGTTCTTCTTGTAACCGAGAGGCGTTATAATTATATCAGAGTAACTCAAAAATTGGTGGTGTTGAGGAGACTTATTTTCTCTTGTTTATCACTTGTAAATTAGGGACATGTAGCACAGATCGCACTTGAATAGCTTTGCACAAAATTAAATAAACCACAAAATAAATAAAGAATGATTATCTTAATTTTATGTGCTTTACTGTACATATTTAAGTAAAGGGAAAGATGACACGAGGAATTTCAATAATATATATATTTTTTCACAACTATAAGTAAGTTTAACTTTTTCTGGATAATAACAAGTTACTTACGTCGTAAATCGCTTGGCTTTGATAATCACTAATGAAAGCGAGGCAATATCCAACGGTAAAGGAAAGTACAAACACCTGAAATAATATGAAATGAATATCATTATTATAATTATATTTCTATTCCACATAATTCTCAATTAAACGTTAGCAGACACAATACAATCACAATCCATTAAATAGCCCAGGTTTTCAACCTCATACTTACTAGTGTGAAAATCTCGTAGACTAAAGAGTTTGTTATCAATATAGCTAAAAATACTTGACGTTAAAATAAAACTATTCTCAAAAATATTCAAAAATTAATGACGTGTCAGACAACCTTCGGACCAATTCCAGCTTTAAAGATTGTATGATATCTTCTAGACAACGTTTTGAAAACGTTTAGCTTTAAAGATCGTATGGTGTCTTCCAGACAACGTTTTGACCCCTTTCAACTTTAAAAATTGCATGACGTCTTCCAGACAACGTTTGGATTACTTCAGACGCATTAAGGATTGTATGCGAAAGTGAGAAAATGAACCGTCTCAGAATTGTTTCTTGTTTGAAGATGATATCGCATGTTGAAAACAGGTGGATGCAGTCCTTTAACCTTTCAAGAAGAGTTATAAATTTGATCAATTCTTCATCGAATGAAGAAACCTATTCAGTGAAGAACTGAACAGTAAGCTTAATTATTTTAAATGCGGACAAGATATTCTAAACTTATTTTAAATCAATATAATCTTTTTTCTCAGAACTTACGACTCAAAGGTTATTTGTTACTTTATTTGTAAAGAGTTATTTTAAGCTGGAACTGTGACTAGAAAAACACGTATCGAACATAGTGTTTACATATGCCTTAATTGCTTTAAAGAACAAATGCGAACCTAAAGACACTTCTGTATATTGACATGCCATTGAATACAAACGTAAGCATCCCGAAACCGATTATGCTAAAAATAAACTTTGCTAACATACTATTCTCACCACATCTTATGGAAGATCATTGAGTTATTTCTTTTTTTTTGTACATTTATTGGAATAGATAAAATCAGTTCAGTATGTTGATGTTTATTTCTTGTAACTTTAAAACATTGCCATCAGAAAACTAAAACAAAACCTGTATGCTAGGTAAACAATTTTCATTGAACGAGAAAATAACTTCTTTAACATTAATTTTTGGACTAATGAAGCAAGTCTTTAGCTACATGTTTTATGTTTAAAGGTATAGCACTAAAGTGAAATGGTTTAAATGCAAAAATTAAGACAGAGTCCGAGGAATCATTGTTCTAAATGAATGGTTTCGAGAGGCTCTTCTTGAAGTTGAGATATATAATCCAATTATAAATGAAACTTACCTCTTGCAACAGCATTTGGGCAGATTATTCGTACTGAACTGTACTTAAAGGTTTTATGAAAGGGGTTTAATACAGATAAATGTAATCAGACGTTCGTTTACTAACTGGAACACTCTGTTTTAAACTAAGTCTATGTTTTTCGCAACTCCTTTTATATCCATCTGTCCGACGCCTATCTGAAGACATCACTTCAATAAAAGTTAGACCCTCATTGTTTGATGTCAAATTCCAACGTGATTTCCTCAGCTAATTCCATAAATAAAAACATAAACAACCGAATCCTATTACCTATACTAACGTCCTGGCCTCCTTTAGTTTTCTTAGCTGACTAAATCATCCAAGTTTGTAATATATGACACTTACGATTCAACAAAAAGTTCAAAATCATTAAGAATTAAGTAGATCACTGCGTGAGGATGAAGAGAAACATTTTCTATCTTGAGGCGAATGTGAGATGACCGACCACACCTTTCAAGTCAAGAGGACAAGTAAATCACGTTATGTGAAAAGTAAGCCTTGTTGGAAATAGTTCAACGTGATCGTATCTGTTTCGTAAGTACATCAAATAAACTCGTACTAAAGCAATCGTCCTCCGGCGAGACAGCGGAAAGTTTAGGGACTTGCAACGTTAAAATCCAGGGATAGAATCCCCACGGTAGACACAGTAGATAGCTCAACGTGGTTTACTCTAATAAAACAAGCAAATAAACAAACTAAAGTAATCAGCAACTAAATGATTAACCACCAGTGGCACAGCGGTACGTCTGTGGACTTACAACGCTAGAAACTGGGTTTCGATACCCGTGGTGGACACAGCACAGATAGCCCATTGTGTAGCTTTGTGCTTAACTTCAACAATCAAACAATCAACTAGATTAACCATTCTGGAGAATACAATCAACTTTAAGTTAATAGCAAGGAAAAAACTGTAATTTAACAAGAACCATTAAGGACGTCAAGTGATTTCCAACAATTCGACAGAAAGTAAGCAATACATAAATCAAATATTATTTTTTTGTGATTTAGTCACGTTACTGAGTTTTTGCTCCATAGATATTTTAATAAATGCTAGCAGCGAGTATATTTGTTGTATATAATATAATTAAGAATGTGATATCCAGTTTCTACCCAGGACGATTACAATGGTGAGTGTTAAAAAGCGCTGTATAACATTTTCCAACTAGAGAGGGCCTGACATACCCTGGTGGATAGGGCGCTCAACTCACAACCTGCGGATTGCAGGGTGGGATTGTCACCGAATATACTCGCACTTTCATCCGTTTGGGCGTTATAATATGACGATCAATCCCACTGTTCGTTGACAATAGAGTGGCTCAAGAGTTGGCGGTGGGTGGTGCTAGCTAGATGCCTTTTCTCATTGCTATCACTTCTAAATTAGGGACGACTAACGCAGATAGCCCTTGAGTAATTTTCAGCGAAATTCAAAACAAACCAGCTAGCAAAGTATAGTTCAAAATCTGTAATTTTCAGGTTTTTTTGCATTTTACATTTGAAATCCATTAACACCATGCCTACCCCAACTCAAAAATGTAATTGAAAACTAATGATGCGACTTATCACTAAAGATACATTTTGTCAATCATGCTAAATTATACAAGTGAATTGTTTATTATTAATATTTCATAATTTTCCCCAGTTACACCTTTGGATATGCACGACATTATGCAATACTTTGTTTTGTCTCCAGAGGTATTTTCAGGTTGCTCACCAGTATTATATGTACATTGGTCATGGTACACTTAGGTTACTATGATAATTATTCTCCTATTTCAGTCCTAGTACAGCTCTAAGTGTTAGTGCAATATTAATTGACACCAAGAAGTTAATGTTTTCTTTGTCAATACAACGGGTTCTTAACACTCATGGATTTAACATTTAGTGAAGGATCAATATGGGTAAATATATTTAGAAAGAAATATGAAATGAAAAGGTCCAGGCTGTAAGTAATTTCCTGCTATTTCATGTGCGAAGATATCAAGAGATAATGGCTTACATGGACTATTTCTTTACTATAATAAAACACATTGCCTTTAAAACAAGATCGGGATCTTTTTTGTGGACCCCATTTCTATCCATTAACCCTTCTTCCACAATCGTGTACTCCGGTGGGACAGCGGTAAGTCTATGGGCTTATGATGCTGAAATCCAGGATTCGAATCTGAGTTTGAAGAATATGTACTTCTCTTTCGGAGTTTCAGTGCGAGAATTTTATTATATAACACTTTAACTACTTGGGAGTTCAGTGCGAGAATTTCATTATATAACACGTTAACTACCTGGGGTTTCAGTGCGCAAATTTTATTATATGACACTTTAACTACTTGGGAGTTCAGTGCGAGAATTTTATTATCTAACACTTTAAATACTCTACAACAAGACATGTAAACTTTTATACCAAATTTGAACAAGTAGTCCAGTGAAAATTTTTAATTTTTTATTTATTCCGAAACAGTCAAGCACATTTACCTTTAGTAAATAGTATAAAGTGTTAACGGTTTTGTGTTACATAAATAATTTAGTGAGTTGCCTCAGCTTTATAACACCGTTGCTCAGTGTTAAGATAGAAAGTCTAGATTTTCATCAGTTTTTCTTATTCAGACAACATTGTCATTATTCAAAGAGAACCCAATGTACCTATAAACATCCTTCATTATCCCTAAAAACTTCTATATCTGCTCAAAGGAGATCCGTGTCCTAAAACAAACCCGTTAGAATATTTGCCCGTTGAACCAGAGCACGTTTATCACGTTTGGTTCTGCTAGCTTGTGAGTGGGGAAAGGGGGGTATTAACCTATTTTTAAACACGGCACACCTTGGATTCCTAGAAAAACCGGGATCACTAAATGCTATGCGAGATTTGCGTTCAGCGCCCCTGAAAACTTTAGACCTCATCATGTGTGGGCGACTTTCTGGGGGTGTTTAGTCCTTCTTAGTACAACCTCCGTAGAAGGATACAACATACAGACAAGAACAACCCATCAGATTCGGTACTTATAACATCGAAACTGTAGGATGAGTTTCCAGAGAAACAAATTATCAAAAAACAACATGAATTAAGATAGGGTTTCAAAGTGAAAAATAATTTTTACATCATGGCACCCTTTTGGCCAACTCCTACAAATTGTTTTACCATTTTTGATCTTTTCTTAGGCTTAGTCTAGAAAATGCGCACTATCAATACTAAATACGTTTTTTTTTTCAAAACTATATATACAATGTAATTTTTTACATACTTGCAGTTACAATCCACAATGTATAAATTAGTTCATTGTATTTCCTCGAACAAGCTTCTAATTTAAACGTAGCATACATCATTTTGAAAATTTTATTCATAGTATCGACCAGATGTGAGATAATCGTTATTTCCGGGCTGGGGATTGGAAGATGCAGTTTTTGATTTGTGACATTCTGCTGAACATGGTACTTTCAATAACAGGGCGTTATAACTGTGAAAGTCAATCCGTTATATTGATTAAGAGTAAACACGTAAGCCTCAGGTGCTTCAGGTCCGCAGCTGTAAATTAGGATGGGCAAATCTGAATCTTGGGTTTCTGATCTGATCTCTTTGTTCTTTAAAATACCAAATTCGTATCAATACAAGCGATTGTAAATTGGGATTTTCAAAATGAATGGCACCTCTTGCTCACGTGCCAAGAAAAGAAACCCCTAGAATGCAAACATATACACCGTTAATTTTGACTTCTGACCAGACGAAAGGCAGCCAACCACCTCTAAAAGGACTTTGAACCAAATAACGGGATTGACTAACACTTATAAGTGTCAGTGTTCACTAAATTTGAAGTTAATTATCGACATCACATTCGAACACCGGGCCCGCGATAAACAGCCCGCCATTCTAACCACCAGGTAACGTTCTGCCCCACAACTGACTGATGCTTTAACTGAATAAAGTTATTTGTAATTAAGAAAAAATTCTTTCATATTCATTTTTTATTTCTTATACTTCTTCATCCATTTAGTTTTTATTGTTTATTCAGTAATCTCGGAACTAATTGCTAAATAAGTATGCAACCTAACTGCTTTATAAGTATGCAAACTAACACACGTTATCAATAACAGTAATTTCTATAAAAAGAGGCTATGCTTGATAATTAACTGAATGATACACATGAAATATGCATCAATTATCGCAGTGTCGCAAGTAAACGTAGGTCATTATTACGTAAGTTGGTCTTGCCTTTTTGTCTTTCGTACGCTTTCTTTGTGATTTCGAAATGCCTCGCAGTAACTTCGACTAATACAAATATCCATACTGTGGTGTGAAATACGCGGGAATGAAATATGCGTGGAATACGTATGGATAATAATCGCCATACTTGTGTGACTTTAACAGAGTGGCGCCTTTGGTGTAATAAGATTAAAGGTTTGTTTGTTTGGTTGTAATTAAGCACAAAGCTACACAATGGTCTATCTGTATTCTTCCCACCACGGGTATCGAAACCCGGATTCTAGTGTTGTAAGTCCGTAGACATTTTTACAAGTTCACTTATGTCTTAATAAGGCAAAACAGATGAATTTTAAAATGCCTTTACACATTTATTTTAGTTTATTGTCTATTACTAAATGAAGAGTATCTGAGATACACACTTGTTTCAGTTATTTTTTGGGATATTTTTCTAAGTTTCAAGCACTTTAAAACAAGAAATTTCTACTTGTCAAAAACGTCTATAATGATATCGTTAATTCTAGCTGATACATCGCTGGATGTTGTGCGATTATTTATTTTTTTTAAAACCAAATGGACTCCCCAGTGGCTCAGCGGTAAGACTGAAGACTTGTAAAACCGAATTTTGATACTCGTGGTGAGCACAGCACAGACAGAGCATTGTGTAGTTTTGTGCTTATATACAACAACAACAAACCAAATGAAGATTTTGTTTTAATAAAGTTTATCAATAATCGTTGAGATTCGTAACGTTGGGTAATATTATTAAAAATGGTCTTTCTCAACGTTTTACTTTTTCTTTTGACCT